CTTCATAATCCCAGCTCCCTATATCTTCCCCTTCGTTTCCGCAGCAGCTCTCTATGGGCCCAGGACAGGAGGAAGAGGTCCCGGGACTGACATTAGCGGTTACCAGGATAATAAATATCCTGGTCATCAGCGGCTACCAGGGGCCCCTTCCTCCTGTCCTAGGCCCCCTCCAAATGGCGGAATACCAGCGCCCGGCCGCAGCCGCGACCTCTGCGACCCTAGTAGTTCCGCCACTGTCTGGTACCTAAAGCTCAGAGAAACTAAAAGAAATTAAATATCCAAATTTCATTCTTATTCCATGCCCCAGGTGGATGAGTTGATAGAAGGGTTGGATCCCACCAGGTATAATACCACCCGCAATCTTGCTAAAGGGTGTTATTAAGTTGCCTTAAAGTAAAACTGAAGCCAAAACATTTTATTTTGTTTTGGATAGAGTAAGGGAGTATTAAAACCCCTGTCAGCTTTTTTTTGCCACACGTGTCCCATTGGGGACTAGGAAGAATTGAGGTAAATCTGATGACAACCAAACATTTGAGATTTTCTTTCACTTTCATTTTCAGTGATAATGATCACCAGGACAAATAGAGAGGATGCATATCCTTAATGGGGACACAGACAGCAATAATCCTGACAGGTGTTCTAATCCCTCTCCACTCTATCCAAAACTAAAAACATGTTTTGGCTTCAGTTGCACTTTAACAGCCAGGGCCAAGGAAAACAGCTTTTGCAACACCAGATGGGCTGCACCAGTATGTGGTCTCCCCTTTGACTTACATGGGGTCTCGGCCTCATTACAAAGAATGAGGATCGCATTCTTAAGCCCCCACAAAGTATATGCTTTGATCTATCTACATGATGTAGTCATTGTTTTTCTTGGCTAGGATTCCCACCTACAGGGGGGCCAAGCAGTTCTACATTCCATTCATAATGGCGGGTTAACAACCAACCGAAAAAAAAAATGCACAATAGGCCTGGAGGAAATCTGGTTTCTGGGTTACAACATTGGGCAGGGGGGTCATATTTACCTTTAATCGACAAGATTTAAGCAATTAAAAGTTGTCCCCAACCTGAGTATATAAAACAGTATAGCCTTTCTAGGGATTGTAACATACTACCAGAGGGTTGTGCCCAACTCAGTTTGATGGGTGTCAAGCACAACGGAGTGAGAAAAAATATGCTTTAAAGGAGAACTATGGGGTCAAGGCTTTTCCCCATAGTGCCTATCAAGAGGCAGAGCCAGCTGTACCCGCCCCCTCCCCCATCCAATCCGCCAGTCAGCGCTGGTGGATCGGAGCAGGGAATCCAGCCCCTCCCCTGTCCCGTGACAGGATCGAGAGGTGAGTGAACGCCGGTATGTGTTCGCTCACCTCCCGATTACTGAGCCAATCTGTGACAGTCTCATTGTCACAGGTCAGCTAGAACTATGAGGTGAGTGAAAAGCACTCACCTCATAGTTCTCCTTTAAATATCCGCTTCCTATCTATTTAACAAGTGTTAGACAGAACAAGAAGTGAGAAGAACTCTCCCCAAGAAAGTTCACAGGCAGAAATAGTGAGGAGGGTTTAGAATTTCTTTCAACATTTTTTTGCTGACCGTGCCCCATGAGGGGAATTTGCCATAAACATCCTACAGAACCAAAAAATAGGGGGGGACCTCTTCAACAGGGGCAGAGAAATCATTTAAAATTTGAGGAAAAAAAACCTCTCCTCAATGGAAGTACAGACAGCATTTAATATCCAACAGAGGTTCAAACCCTTCCTCACTTTATCCACAACCTTTTGCTGCCTCCAGGACAATAACTACTTTGTACATGGTTTTTGCCAGGTGTTGCCATGTTTACTTATTCCAAAGGTCATAGGTTTGAGAAGTCATGCACCACTTGTCTTAATTGCAGCTATTATGGGTTACTGTTTATCAATAGTCCATTGGTGTGCTGAATAATTAAGGCCTGAGCTCATAGTCTATGGGCCTAATCTCAGTAATAAACACATAACTGTTATAAATCTGGAGTTTAATCACATTCCAAGTGAATGTCAATGAGATTAAAAGAAACACAAGTTAGACCATGCATCTTTTTCAATGTTTCTGTTTTAATATTTTTATTTCAAACAGTTATGAAAGATTATTAGAAATCATACTTTAGATTTCCATTCATCTCAGATTGGCATGGCTATTGTATGACAGCATTGACACAGGTAACTCACAGGTAGAGTAATTAAAGTGTATTTCTAGGCAAGAAAACGTTTTTTTTGTTTGTTTTGGATAGAGTTGGGAAGGGTTAGACGCTGCATCAGGTTTTCATTGCTCTCTGTATTCCAACTGGGGAGATTTGCGCCTCTATTTGTACTGGTGACCATTGTCACCAAGACAGAAAATGAGGGAAATCCAACATTAAAGAAGTAACGTGAAATCATCCAATAGGCACACCTGTTCCAGGGAAAAATGCCCTCACTTTTGGAGATTTTCTTCCTCCTGTGTCTCTGGGACAAGAAGTTAGGGCAATTTCTTTGATGGTACGCAGACAGAAAAATGTAACCCGACTAGGATTTCAATCCTTTCCATTAAAGTTGGCTATACAAAAACTTTAAAACATGTCAATAAAATGGAGCTTCCAGATTAATCCAGTAAAACTGTCAGTGTAATATGGATGTATGTTTTGTACCAATCGTGCTGCCTGAGCTTTATTGTCCCACCTGACCTGGGTTCATAGGTTCTTAAACTGGATTCAGAATATTATCACCAAAAGGATCAAATTCAAAATATTAACAACAACTTACAAAGCCATCCATAACTCTGCCCATGGCTATATCTCAAACCTGGTCTCAAAGTATCACCCTAACCGTCCCCTCCGCTCTGCAAAAGACCTTCTGCTTTTCAGCTCCCTCACCAACTCCTCCCATGTTTGCCTTCAGTACTTCACTAGAGTCTCACCCATTCTATGGAACTCCTTACCCCAACCCGTCCGAATATCTCCAACTCTTTAGGTGAACCCTTAAGACCCATCTCTTCAGGGAAGCCTATCCCACCTCAACCTGTCCACTGAACCATCACATTCTCAAACAATTCATCCCCACACAGCTACCTCCTCATGTATCACTGGCCCCTCCCTTCTAGATTGTGAGCCCTCACAGGCAGGGCCCTCCTTACCATCTTGTCTTGAATTGTATTGTGATTGTAATGTCTTCCCTATATTGTAAAGAGCTGCGCAAACTGTTGGCACTATATAAATCCTGTATGATAATAACAATATTGGGTAATATTAGGTAATTTTTCATTGGTCATAATTAGAGATGCACCGATACCGATAATCGTATCGGTGCCGATACCGACTATTTGGGCGAGTACTCGTACTCGCCCAAATGCTTCGATGCCCAGCCCGATACTCCCTGTATCAGGAAGCTGGGCAGCGCGTCATTACACGCTGCCCGGTTTCCTGATTGACCGGGAAACTGGCCAATCAGGAAGCCGGGCACCGTGTAATGACGCAGCGCCCGGCTTTCTGATTGGCCGGGAAGCCGGCTTCATGCTCCCTCGTCATCTCATGACATTGCATCTCTAGAGTGAAGGGGGAGGTAGGCTGAAGAGACTGGTCTAACAGCCTGGCGGATCTAAGGTTTGGGTGAGCATATCTTTCTTTTAGAACCTAGTTGAAAACAAGCACTTGCAGGGGTAGCCCGGAGTTCTTCTTTAAAATGTATGTCTAGCCAAAACTGTTCTCTTAGTTTTTTAGATGGGAAAGGATTAATACTACTGTCAGGTTTTTACTACTTTCCAGGGCTCCGTCTGAGAGACTTACCCTCCCTTCCTGTCCTGTTGACATATTACCAGTGAGGAAGTGGGAGTATCTCCCCAACATCAACACAGAAATAAAATGCTGGTCTTTAGTAGAGTAGTTAAATGTTTACTGCTAACTGGGGCTCCAGTAGATAGATTTCACCTAACTTCCTGTCCTTCTGATAACATTTTACCAGACAGGAAGTGCGCTGAACTCTCCAATAGCAATACAAACAGAAATAAAACTGCTTTTCATAGTATGGTAGGGGAAGGCTGGAACCCCTGTTAGAGTAATATTTGGTGTCTCTGTTGCAAATGTTCCCTCACTTCCTGTTTGGTGAAACAGTTGTCAGGAGGACAGGAAGTGAGAGAAGACCTCATTCACATTGCCAATTTGGGCCATACGCTGCCAGGGATCAGCATTTCCCTCCAAAGGGGACAGGTGTTTGTGATTAGTGCCGGTTGCATGTAACCACACATCCAAGCAGTAACACGCAAATAGGGATGGATGAGGGGCCCTGGACGCAAACTCTGTGTCCAGGGCCACTCATATGTCCCTGCACATTGAGTACACACTGTTGGCCATGGCTGATCGCAAATACCCGTGCATCCTGGCCAATCTGACAGGGTTATTCACAAAAGGGTGAAGAGTTTGGAGAAGGCAGGAGAAGTGAACAATCTAGGACAACATAGTTGATTTGGAAAATGAGCAGAAATTGAGAATTTTTCAAAAGCAGCTCTGTTGTCCTAGATTGTTCCCTTCTCCTGCCTTCTCCAAACTCTTCACCCTTTTGTGCATAACCCTGTAAATTTGGAGGTGTACGGCCCAAATTGGCTGTGTGAATGATGCCTAAATCTTTCTAATGGAGCCCCAGATTACAGTCAAATTCTGACAGTTCTTATTCCTCCTCACTTAGCTTCTCGTATCAAATCTGGTTTTCCCGGCCAAATTCCCTTGCTCTGCCTCCCACACTTTGGGGTCTTGTACCTGGAGCCTCAGTGCTCCTTCTGCAGTCTCTGTAATGTAAAATAAATGTAATTTCCACTTTTGTAGCCAAATAGGGACCCCCTTATAGGGGTCATGCCTGGTGGACAGAACAGACACCCAATAAAAAGTCTGTTGCGTGGTGAAGCCATGCAATTGTTGACGTATTATTAAATCCAACTCTGTCATACACAACAGCAAAAAAAACTTTACTCAAAAAGTGCCATTATAGGCGTCTTACCTTTTTGGGCAGTAGTACAAACTGCAAGCAGCAACCCAAAGAAAAGTGTATATAAAGTGGTCATATTGGAGGCCAGGATGAAAGTTTAGGAGGAAATGTCACAGTCAAATCCAAATCAGTTCTGAGTGTTCTAGAAGCGATCCTTCCATAGAATACACTCCCTATCTTGCTTCTTCTGTAATGCTCCATTAATCGCTTAGCTATCTGCATTTTTATGGCAGTCCAGAGGGTAAAATCCAATCTCTACATCCTGGAAGCAACAAATTAACCCCTTCTTTTCAGACATAAGTAACAGAATAATAAATAAATGATTTCTACAGCAAAAGTTTACTTACTTTTTAGCTCATAAAAAAATAAATATTTTGATAGAAGCACATATAACATAACAATGGCCAACAGCAAAGTATAATAATGTTTAAATTAGAATCATAGGCCTAAATAATAACCAATGAAGCATCACATTTAAACAAAGCCACATGGATACGAAATCAAAACTTGAGAGTGGCTTTAAAGTTTAGGCCAGGTTGGTATGCCAGCGGAACACCGCTCAGTTACTTTGAGGTAACTTTGAAGGTACTTTAGGCAAATACTGAGTATATGAGCGTCAGTCCGCTTTAAGATTGATTCTTCTGAAGTGTGTTCATTATATAATTTTCAGTTGGTGGGCAGGTGGGGTGCTCTCCGCACACCTTACAGCAATCCCGGCCAATAAGAATAATGGTGCTTGTAGTAACGACCACGGATGGCACCGTGCAAGATACAGGATAAAGATGACAGGTCACCAGCACTCAAATAATTTAAAATCATTATATAACACTGCAACCATAGAGCATAATGAATTTATTATACTGACATCACAGGCTTTATTGGGGATGTAAATGAAATAAACTGCTATTTGCTGGACTTTGGCTGCTATATGTGTGATTTCCACAGAAACCAGATTGAAGAGCTATCACCCAACGAAGTAAACGAATGTGTGCAAAAAACAAATATAACAGTGAATGAAATATTCTCCTGCCAGGAAGCCACAGGTACTGTGTACAGGCAGCCTCCCATATTAATCAATGGCTGTACACAGCTGCAGGAAAGTATATGCTGGATGCAGACTGTACACAGCATCTGTGGCTCCCCGGCAGGGGGAGATATGGTTATAATTACGTTGTACGGTGCAAATGTGCATGAGCCCTTTAAATGGAACTATTACTAAAATAAAAGAATGGCAAATGCGATGAAATCTGTCAGGTAGCCAGGATACCGGAGGTAGGTAGGATACCGGAGGTAGGTAGGATACAGAAGGTGGGCAGGATACAGGAGGTAGGTAGGCAGGATACAAGAGATGGGCAGGATACAGGAGGTAGGTAGGCAGGGTACAGGAGATGGACAGGATACAAGTTGTGGGCAGGGTACAGGAGGTAGGCAGGATACAGGAGGTAGGTAGGTAGAATACAGGAGATTGACAGGATACAGGAGGTAAATAGGCAGGTTACAGGGGATGGACAGGATACAGGAGATGGACAGGATGCAAGAGATGGACAGGATACAGGAGGTAGGTAGGCAGGATACAGGGGAAGGACAGGATACAGGATGTGGATAGGCAGGATAGAGGAGATGGATAGGATACAGGAGGTAGGTAGGCTGGATACAGGAGATGGACGGGATACAGGATGTGGATAGGCAGGATAGAGGAGATGGATAAGATACAGGAGGTAGGTAGGCTGGATACATGAGGTGGATGGGATACAGGAGATGGACATGATACAGGAGGTAGGTAGGCAGGATACAGGAGAAGGACAGGATACAGGAGGTAGGTAGGCAGGGTACAGTAGGTGGGCAGGGCACAGAAGATGGACAGGATATAGAAGTTAGGTAGGCAGGATACAGGAGATGAACAGGATACAGGTAGGCAAGATACAGGAGATGAACAGGATACAGGTAGACAGGATACAGGAGATGGACAGGATACAGGAGGTAGGTAGGCAGGATACAGGAGGTAGGTAGGCAGGATACAGGATATGAACAGGATACAGGAAATGGACAGGATACAGGAGGTAGGTAGGCAGGATACAGGAGATGGACAGGATACAGGAGGTAGGTAGGCAGAATACAGGAGGTAGGTAGGCAGGATACAGGAGGTAGATAGGCAGGATACAGGATATGGACAGTATAACGGAGGTAGGTAGGCAGGATACGGACAGGATACAGGAGGGAGGTAGGCAGGGTACAGTAGGTGGTCAGGATACAGGAGATGAACAGATTACAGGAGGCAGGTAGACAGGATACAGGAGATGGACAGGATACAGGAGGTAGGTAGACAGGATACAGGAGATGGACAGGATACAGTAGGTAGGTAGGCAGGATACAGGAGGTAGGTAGGCAGGATACAGGAGATGGACAGGATACAGGAGGGAGGTAGGCAGGATACAGGAGATGGACAGGATACAGGAGGGAGGTAGGCAGGATACAGGAGATGGACAGGATACAGGAGGGAGGTAGGCAGGATACAGGAGATGGACAGGATACAGGAGGGAGGTAGGCAGGATACAGGAGATGGACAGGATACAGGAGGGAGGTAGGCAGGATACAGGAGATGGACAGGATACAGGAGGGAGGTAGGCAGGATACAGGAGATGGACAGGATACAGGAGGGAGGTAGGCAGGATACAGGAGATGGACAGGATACAGGAGGGAGGTAGGCAGGATACAGGAGATGGACAGGATACAGGAGGGAGGTAGGCAGGATACAGGAGATGGACAGGATACAGGAGGGAGGTAGGCAGGATACAGGAGATGGACAGGATACAGGAGGGAGGTAGGCAGGATACAGGAGATGGACAGGATACAGGAGGGAGGTAGGCAGGATACAGGAGATGGACAGGATACAGGAGGGAGGTAGGCAGGATACAGGAGATGGACAGGATACAGGAGGGAGGTAGGCAGGATACAGGAGATGGACAGGATACAGGAGGTAGGTAGGCAGGGAACGGGAGGTGGGCAGGATATAGGAGGTAGGTAGGCAGGGAACAGGAGGTGGGCAGGATACATTAGGCAGGTAGACAGGATACAGGAGATGGAGAGGCTACAGGAGGTAGGTAGACAGGCTACAGGAGATAGGTGGGCAGGATACAGGAGGAGGGCAGGATACAGGAGGTAAGTAGGCAGTATAGAGGAGATGGACAGGATACAGGAGGTAGGTAGGCAGGATACAGTAGGTGGGCAGGATACATGAGATGGACATGATACAGGAGATGGGCAGGATACAGGAGGTAGGTAGGCAGGATACAGGAGATGGCTACATGAGGTAGGTAGACAGGCTACAGGAGGTAGGTAGATAGGATACAGGAGATAGGTGGGCAGGATACAGGAGGTGGGCATGATACAGGAGGAGGGCAGGATACAGGAGGTAAGTAGGCAGGATAGAGGAGATGTACATGATACATGAGGTAGGTAGGCAGGGTACAGGAGATGGGCAGGATACAGGAGGTAGGTAGGCAGGACACAGGGGGTGGACATGATACATGTGGTAGGTAGGCAGGCAGGATACAGGGGATGGGCATGATACAGGAGGTAGGTAGTCATGATACAGGGGATGGGCATGATACAGGAGGTAGGTAGGCAGGATACAGGGGATGGACGGGATACATGAGGTAGGTAGGATACAGGAGACGGACAGGATACAGGAGGTGGGCAGGATACATGATGTTGGTAGGTAGGATATAGGTGGTAGGTAGGATATAGGTGGTAGGTAGGATACAGGAGACGGACAGGATACATGATGTTGGTAGGTAGGATATAGGTGGTAGGTAGGATACAGGAGATGGACAGGATACAGGAGGTGGGCAGGATACATGATGTTGGTAGGTAGGATATAGGTGGTAGGTAGGATACAGGAGGTGGGCAGGATACATGATGTTGGTAGGTAGGATATAGGTGGTAGGTAGGATACAGGAGATAGCCTTAGAAAACACACTGGGGGGAATTCATAAAAATTGGAGCAGTTGCCCATAGTAACCAATCAATTCTAGATTCTATAAACTCCCCATTATCCCATCTTCATCTCATACAGCCTATAGATGACCAAGGCAAGCACTGAAGCACACAGCTCACTCTCATCCTATAAGCACTCTCATCCACTTTCTGCTAGTACAGTCTTGTCACATGATACAGTTCTCCCTCCCAACTCCAGTCATGTGACTCTGATGCCATGCGATGCCAGTAGTCAACATGGAGGAAGACACAGAGTCACGTGTGTCAGAAGGTTTCCAGGTCCTGCTGAATGATCAGAGTCCGGATGGCTCTCCGCACTGTCCTCATGGTGAGCCCGCTGATCCTCGGTCCTGTCCCCGCACGTCACATCTCCTAATCTGTTATCTCCTTCTTTATTTACATGTGTATAGACTATACAGTGATATCACGAAGTCATTCTCTGGGTGGCTGGGTTAGTATGCTGGAACTTGCAGTTCTATTTTTATCTTCTGGTCCAGAATATGAAGCACACACATCAGTGTTTCACCTACACTTCTTATACTTCGTGTAATGTCAGCAGGGGTAGGCTAGCTGGCATGCCAGCTCTGATGAAACTACAAATCCCATAATTCCTGTGGCTGTCAGCCTTGCAGTTGCCTCATGGGATTTGTAGTTCCACAACAGCTGGTGTGGCTGAAGGTGTCTGTTCCTGTCTTATAGAATGTCACAAGTTGCAATTTTTTTTTAATGCATATTGTGGCAGTAATGAGCATTGGGATTTATTAAACGTGTGTGTATGTGTACATGTGAGTCCTCCATCTGCGTTCATGATTGACACATCTCCTGCCAATTGGTCAAACTGATCTTTGTATATCTGAGGATCAAAATTATGTGATGAATTATTTAGTAAGGGTTGTAACAAATAATGACTCCACAATCCACTGACTATTAAAGCCAATTGTATATAAATAATTGTGTCCAATGTTATAATCGTGTTTATATTGTGATTTCCCTGATACCATAGATGACAGGGCGTGTTTACACCAGCCGTGCACACTACTGTGCCGCCTCTGGTGTGGGCTGTTAGGAAGCAGTGCGATGCAGTGATTTCAGCGCATTGTTTACCTTTTTATTCTTTTTTAACTTTTTTTTAAAAATATGTCACAGGGTGACATTTCATTCAGTTCTATCCACCACAGCACATCGTGATATGGTGTCCCACGCT